ATAAGTTGCAAGGTTAATTTCTTGCAGGTACTTGTTATCCTTTACAATGTTTGTTCTTGAAGATAACAGCTGATGGGGAAAGTTAATGCTTTTTTGTTTATTTTTTTAATTTTACATTTGTTTATTTAGTGTATGTGTGCATTATGCATGTGTGCATGTGAGCATTCTTGCATGTGTTCGTGTGTATGTGCATGTGTTCACACTGTAACATGCAGTGAAGGTCAGAAAACACCTTTCAGGAATCAGTTCTCTTCTACTGTACGGAGCTCAGTGGCAATTGCCTTTGTGAGTAGGTATTTCATAGTGCAAAACAACAGGGAGATAGCACGTCTGCGTGGGCAATATACAGCAGGCAGACTTGCTTGATTCAATCTTCACAGCCTGTAAAAATTAGATTTTTCTACTGTAACATCGTGTGTCCAATCTCCTTATAAGAGATTCACCATTATAAAAAGGAAGGTTAGGCAGGGCCTGGTGGTGCATGCCTTTGATACCAGTACTCCAGAGGCAGACGGATCTCTGTGAGTTTGAGAGCAGCCTGGTTGGTCAACATAGTGAGTACCAGGATAGTCAGGGCTGTGTAGATATAGAAAAAGAAAAAAGGGGGAAGGGGCAGCAAAAATACTAAATACATTACTAAACTCAAGGATCCTCCTGTCTCTGCCTTCTGAGTGCTGTGATTAAAGGTATGTGCCACCACCATCTGGCTGTTATAATTTTTTTTTTTTAAAGCAACCATTTACCCACCCACCCACCCATCCATCCATTGTTGATATTCTAACTGTTCTACTTAAGGACAGTGGCCATTACTGACTAAACAAGCCTAGGGATAGGAATGGATCCATCCACACAGCTATAGTCCACACTACCCAAATCCCCGCATGTAACAGCCAAGTGTGTGATGCTTTATCCTCTCTGAATGCTGCGCTTCTGGGCTTCTCAGAATTTCACCCAACAGAGCTCAGGTGGGTTTTGAGGGGCAGCTTGTTACTCATCTACTGAGTTTGATGAGTTTGTCACAATCCTGATAGGCACTTTGTGATCCCTTTGATGTTCCACACAGGGACCACATTTGGGAGCCACTTTGTTATTGTAAACATTTATAGATAAACACACAGAAAAGGATTTCTTCATAATCTGTGAGGCAGAAACTTTCAGATTTATTTAACTCATGTGTCAAAGGAATCAAAACAATTGGGTAATAAAGGTGGCTGACAACTCCTGTTATTATCATTATTTTCTGTATATATGTGTTTTGCTTGCATGTAGGTCTGTGCCTTCATAGGGCATTGGAGCTTCTGAAACTGTATAGATAGATGGCTGTGAACCTCCATATGAATGCTGGAAATTGGACTGTATTTTCTGCAAGAGCAGCAAGATCTCTTAACTGCCAATCAATCATTTCCTTCACCTAATCAACCCAATGATTAATCTATCTGAGGAACACCAAATATCTAATCAACATTGAGTCGTTACATATAAGAAAGGAATTTGGTCATTATAAAACAGCAAAAGAAATGACTAGCTATGAAAGTTTTTCTCAATTTTTTTTTTCCAATTTAGATACAGGGTCTTGCAATGCAGTGCTGGCTGGCCTGGAGCTCACAGAAAGCATCTTACCTCAGCCTCCTGAATGTTGGGATTGCAGATGTTTATCACCACACTAGGCTTCAGATAGACCATATCCAGCTCAAACAGTGATTTTGTTTGCACAAACTGATTTGGTGGAGTTTGGTAAAAAGCTTTGGGATAATATTGGAAACAGACTGGCCCACATTGATTCTTTGTCCCCACCCCCACCCCCAACCAAAGGACCTTAATGGATCATAAAAGGATAAATTCACAGGAACCAAGAATATGAAGGAAAGGCCATCAGCAAAAGAGAGATTTCAACACAGTTCTGGATGATGCAATGGTGGGGGGCATTTCTTCATGGCTTCTGCTTCAGTCTCTGCCCTGACTCCTTCAGTCATAATCCGTGGTGTGGGAATGTAAGGCGAAATAAACCCTTGCTTCCCAAGTTACTTTTGGTCACAGTGTTTATCTCAGGAATGGAAACCCCAACTGAGAGTGGTGGAGTATTGTGTCAGGGGACAGCAGAAGTTACACATGAATGCTCGTAGAGGTTGGGCAGAAAAGGCTCAGTTGTAAAAACACAGGATGGTCTATCCCTGGAGATGCCTGAGGCCACCACAGGGAACACCATAGGGATAAGAGAGGCAAACAGCTGAAATCAGAGGTCCAGCTGGAGGTGTTAGATGCCTTGTCACCTCTCATCTACAGACCTTTTACTCTCCATTCACAGATGAGAGCAAGGCGGTAAAAATCTCTTTAGGAACCTAAGGGGTGGCAGGTGGCCTTGCTCCGAGGAGCTCTGGTGGGAGTTATCTCTTCATGGGACTGTACTCCTCAGAGGCCAGATGCTACATATCTCTTCTTTGGACCTTTTAGTTTCTTACAAGAAATATTTTTAGATTCCCCTGTCCTGACCCTGGCAGCCAGCAAGAGAAACACGTATCTGTATGAGGATAGGAATAAGAATGCTCCAGAAAAGGAAAGGGTGCAAGGTGGCTCACCCAGGCCCTCTCCAGAATGGCTTCCAGACATCACTCACCTGGTGAATGTTCCAGAGTGTGAGAGACTGTAGATTTCTCATAACTCTAAGAGTGCCAAGGGAAAGACAGATCTACTAGGGAGCAAGTCCACTGCCCACCTCCATAGGGATGCTGAAGAGGTTCTCATGACCTCATTCTTACCTGGGAGTGCAGACAGCTGTAGGAGGCTCTGCATAGGGGAGGGGGTAGAGAAGCAAACTCAGAGGAATCTAAGAAGAGGCAGGAAACTCTAATAATAACTGATGTTCTCAAAAGACAGGGTAAGATGTGATAGCCATGAAGCAGTCACATAATTGCATTTTAAAAAACAACAAAGCTGTTGTATTTAAATTGCTTTTTTAAAAGTAACAACAACAAACTAAAAATAGTCAAGGGTGGGGGTATACGCCTTTAATCCCAGCAGAAGCAGGTGGGTCTCTGTGAGTTTGAGACCAGCCTGGTCTACAGAGTGAGTTCCAGGACAGCCAAGGACTACACGGAGAAACCTTGATTCCAAAACCAAAAACAATGACAAAAAGTCAGGGTGTGGTGAAGAATGCTTGGGCACTGAGTGGAAGGACAAACACAAGTTTGAAACCAGCCTCATCTACACAACTAGGTCCAGGCCAGCGAGGGCTACGTAGAGAGACTCTCCCTCAAAACAAAATAAACCACAACAAAAAAGAAAGTGCCACTTGCCATGGGAAATGAAAGATAACCCGTTAAGAGGGCACACAGGAGAGCATGGTGTCCCAGGGTGAGCAGCAAGTCCATAAAACAGTTGGTCTCTACAGAAGTTTTGCAGGCATATTATTTGTAGTGGGAGATTGAATTGATGTTTGAACATTTGGAAATTAAACTGTACAGTCACTTGATTGATCCGTTACAGAAACATATCAGGACAGGTTTATGATAAACTAAATAAAAGGGGGGAAAAAAAGGTTTTTAAGAAAACAGTCACTAAACACCAGTGGGCTCTTGTCAGTGAAACTCACACAGACACTGACTTCTTCATCTCTTGAGAAGGAACTGTTGAAGATCTGGAACTGGAAGGTGAACGGGTAAACTTCATGAAGTCAGTGGTCAGATCATTTTCTTACTGATACATCCAGATGATAGATAGCACAATGCATTACTGGGAAACGGAGGAAATCAGTCACCAGCTGACAGTGAAATGTGGTTGTCTCGGGGGACACAGGTACCGTGTTAAAATTGTGTCAAAATATATTATTTTTTCAAAAGTACATGTACGGGTGTTTATATTATTTTTAAAAAAGAATAAAATTGGGAAAGACATTTGCTAAGGGTGGAAATAAGGAACGACGAAACCTAGCCTCATAATTTAATTCCCAGGAAATAGGTGACCTGCAAAAGTTAATGTAGAAGTTGTATCAAGTCTGTCACCTTCAGCGTTAACTTGTAATAACATGTGGCAAAGCTTTCCATGCCGTCGTGTATTTCCACAATCCGCATGTATGGGCTCGATCCCTGTCAGAACTCCCACAAATACTTCACTCTGGTAGCAGCGGTTATAAATTACACCCGGACTAATTCGAGCTGTTCCCAAGCAGGAGAAGGGAAACCACAGAAAAGTCAGTTTCATCCTGCTTTGTTCCCCTAGCAACCATATTAAACTGCAAGAATAAAGCGCCTTTGTAGTAGCTGCTTCTATTGAATTACAATGTAAATGTTGATGCTTGCCTAGAAATGTCAGCCGGCGATAGGCTTATGGGACAGATGGAGGAGTTCTTCCGCAGCGCGCAGGAATCCCGGGCTACGGAGAGATGGAAAAGGTGCGTCGGGCCATCTTTAGAGTCTATCCAAGCAAATCTCCGTTCTCCACCAAAGCCTCGCCGCGCTTCGTAGATCCAGCCCAGGAAAGGTTGCTTGACTATTCGAAAACTGAAAAACGACCTGCTATCATCTTCTAGGCATCAGGGCGCGAGAAGAGTGTGTTGTGGATAAGAATGTTAAAAATGCAATTACGCAACAGGCCCGGCAAGCTGTTTCTTTCCCACTCTTAGCATAACGTAACTCTAGTCCCTGACTCTTCTGCCGGTCACATAGCTCTCTTCCAGCCGGTGTCAAGTGGCAGGTGGTGCACTGCCCATTTGGTTCCGGGTGCCTCGTTGGTTTCTGGGTTCAGCCCTCGATCGTCCTTCGGTTTGACCCACAACACCCAGTGTTTGCAGGTGGTGCTCCCCGCTCCTGCTCTCCCATCACCTCGACCCCAGCCCCTAGTCAGGGAAGGAAGGCGAAAGGAGGGAGAAGCACTCCCCGCAGAGTGGCCAGCGTGCCACCTCTCCACTCAGGGAAACTTCGCAGTGAGTTACCTGCACTTGGAGAAGGGCCTTACCTGAGCTCGCCTCTGCCAATGGCAGCTCACCTGAGGGAGCTCCGCAGCCAATCACCGCGCAGCTCGGCCCTCGGGCTTGTACCCTTTAGTGAAAGAATTCAGCGCCTTGCGAGAAAGTTACCTGTGGCCGCCCAAGTCCGCCACTTTGCGCTCTGTGTCTGCCCATTGCCACGATCCGGGAGGACTCCGCGCCGCCGGGCCGCCTCCGAGCGAGGGCCCCATGTGAGGGCACCCCCCCCCATCCCACCTTTCCGGCTAGGTGAGGGCGCGAGCGAGCAGGCGAGCGAGAGTGGTGAGGGGGGACGAAAGCAGACTTACCTGTAGCTCTTGTTCTGCCATCTCGGGCGCTCTCACACACCTTCACCTGCACAGACTTGAAAGTCCAGTTTCACCAGAGGCTGAGGCTCCAGGAAAAGGGGAGCGAGTTCATTGGATCAAACATGTCACAAGAGTCGGACAAGTAAGTGGATCGCACGCGCCGGCGGCTGCTGCCGCTGCCACTTTGGGCTGATGGCAACTGGTGTGTTGTGTTTTTTGTTTTTTTTTAAAGTTGCTCTTGTTGGTTTTTTATAAATTTTTTAGTCTTTCTTTTCACTTTTTTATTTTTGGCGGACCCAGACCCAGTCGGATTATATTTCTACCCGGATTTAGCGGAGAAAACCCTACATTGAACATGAATGTTTAATAACCCTTTTTGGCTTTGCTAGTAAACGTGGGCTTTCTCTGCTTCCTCCCCGACGAGTGACCTCAGCTCCCACTGCCCTAACCAGATGAACCCTTGGGCACTGATTGAGATTTTGGTAGACGGTGGCGGGAGGCCTGTTGTTACCCCCTTGTGTGGAGGTGCTCCCCAGCCTTTGACTTCCTGGGCCGTTTGGAAGTTTAGCCGACCGCCTTCGATTAGGCCAAAGGGCCTGCTGGAGAAGCGGTCTGGGCCGCTTTTGTGTGCGCTCAACAAAGGGCTTTTATGCGACTGCAGCAGACACGGCCATCTTCCCCACTGGGGCGGCCCGGGGTGCGTGTGCGCTCCCGCGTGGGCCCCGACGGGAGCGAGGCGCGGGCAGGCCGCAATGGAGGGGCCCGTGGGTGCGCCCGCTCCCTCCCGCCGCCCGCGCATTGTCCGATCACCTCACGCAGGTGCGGGGCAGGGCGTCTGGGGAATGGGGGGGACTGATTTAGAAGCCAGGTACGAAGGGTAACCCACACTTGGGCCAGTCTCCTTCGCCCCGACGTTGCAGGCTCGTGCGCGGCCCGCGGCTCGGAGGCCGCCACCTCGGGCGTGGGGCTCGATCGGCCTTCACCGAAGCTATCTATGGGAAGGAGGGGACTGTGGGGCGCAGTGACCCCAGACACTGGGCGTCCTGGACCTCTGCTTTAGACCGGCGGGGAGCTGCGGCGTGAGGCGCGGGGCGCCGGGCCTGGTCCGTCACGGTCCCCGCCTTGGGGACGGCTTTGTGCGAGCCGGGGGAGGTGGGGCCGAGGGCGGGCGCGGGAGGGAGCAGGAGGTGGGTCCTGCTGCCCTCCTTCCATTTGGTGGCGACACTTCCTTCCCCCTCCTCCCCGGGCGTCTCAGGCCGGGAACTGGCTGCGTCCTATTGGAAGTGCCCAGAGGCCGCCCTTTTCCTGACCCTGGTAACTTTACTCTGCTGGGGTGGTCATTCCAATGGAACCTTCCTGAGAGTCTCCACGGAGAAGTGCACAGCACCAGCTCAAGTCGAGGGACCTGGAAGCGAGGAGGGCGGAGCGGGAAAGCCTGACTGACCCCAGTTGGGATGGATGGAGGGGAAGGGACAGCCTCCTGAGGGTCTGGCCCATCCAGGACGCCTGCTGTCATATTGGAAACCTACTATGGCCGCCACCCTTTAAGATTTAACTGTCTAGTCCATTCCGGAATCGAAGGACTAAAGTGAGAAACTCGGCCAGAGGGACAGGGATGGGAAAGAGGTTGATTGTAGGAGACACCAGCCAGCACCCACATCTCCCCGGCCACTTCATCTCTCTGGTTAGCGGAAGGAGTCAAACTATATAACCCAAATCCAAGGCAATCACAACGTTTAGGTTTTAGGGTTATTTTGTTTTTGTTTTGAGTTTGTAAAACAAAACGGCCGCACGTTTACTTTAATCGCGCAATTAACATTTAGCTTGACTGTTTAGTTTTGTAGCACTACATTAAGTAAAACGAATTAAGATTGAAAAGTGGATGAGTATTTATTTTCCCCAAGTTATACTTAACACCAATAGGGATAATTTATTCACTATTGAGTCTTAAGTACTCAGTACTAACAATCTGGTTTAATGAGTATGTATTACCTAGTTTTTTTATGGCTAATGTCTATCAAGACTTACACGAGCATTTAATGGAAGCGTCTTATATTTAGTGGTTCCTAGGATTGCATTCTGGGAAAACTAACTAACCATATGGTAAGGAGACCACAGTCCTTTCTTTGCTTTCTCTGCTCAGATGGTGGAAGTCTTGTCTCTCTCCTTTCTTTCCTTCCTTTCTTTTTCTCTCTTTCTTTCTTTTGTTGTGAGACAGGGATTTCTGTGTAGTCCTGGTTGTCCTGGAACTAGCTTTCTTTGTAGACCAGGCTGGCTTCAAACACAAATACCTTGTCTCTGCCTCCCAAATGCTGGGATAAAAGGCCAGTACCACCATGCCCAACACAAGATTCACTTTCCTAATTACTAATATTCTCCCTGCCCCTGCAGGCTGGTGAGGCATTTGATGGGGTTAAGAGTCTAAGAGAAAGTGCCTGACTAGCTAGTTGACACTGCTGGTCACCTGAGCAAGGGAGAGGCCCTGAGCTGGAGCTTGCAGGATTTCCTGGTAAATCGTCAGCTGATAGGAGGCCTGCCCGTGTTTTCTGGAAACACTCTCCCAGAGCAAACTTGCAGAGATTTAATTCCAAATCCCAGTGGGATGTAGGTAATCTTTTTAGATTGCATTGGGAAGGTTTTCTAGTTAGAAAGTTTGCCCTGAAGATGGATCTTTTTATTATTTGTACCACTGTTTACTTACATATTTATTTCATCTGTGTGTGAGTGTGTCTGTGTGTCTCTGTGTGAGTGTGTCTGTGTGTGTGTGTGTGAGTGTGCAGTTATTGAAGCACACCACTTGCAAGCATTAGTTCTTTTCTTCCATGTGGTTTCTAGGTGTCACACATGGCAGCTAGCGCCTTCACCCCTGAGCCATCTCACAGGCCCAGAGTCATCTTTTCACTGGTGACTTTTTAGGTTGAAACGTTCTGCCTTGAATGTTCTATGGTGCTGATGTCATTGCTCATTAAAGAAAAAAAAAAAGGGGTGGGGGAAGAGAGGACATTTTGACTCTGTGTGTGTTTTAAAATGTTCTGCTCTCCCATGTTAAACTTTTATGAGAGTAGGTGATCTTTGTCAACAAGTATGTTTGTAGGAAAGGCTCTCTGTTTGGCTAAGAAACTCTTCCCAGAAGTGGTAGCAGGTGTGCCTTTGTGAGTTCGAGGCCAGCCTGATCTACAGATCGAGTTCCAGGACAACCAGGGCTACATAGAGAAACCCTGTCTCAAAACAAAACAAAAACCAAAAGAGAAAGGAACTTTTTAATTTTACTACCAAACTGTACAAAACATGAAGAAGACACACACACACATGTGCATATGTAATAATCGACTCTATGTAGGTATTTTCATAAGTATATGAACATGGTTTCTAGTAGCATGCTGCCTGCAGTGTATTTGAAAGCATTATGGGAGGAAACAAAGATGTACGAAACAGGCCATATCCTTAAGGGTTTATACTACAACAGAGCGTAAGCCAAAAATGGATGTTCACTTATTATGACAGCACCGCCTGGAAAATGCCTAAAAGTTACAATAATTTTTTAAAAGCAATTAAAAATTCAGTGCAACTAATGAATTATTACTTATTTATTACTATTATTTTGAATTTTCAAGACAGAGCATAACTCATCCTTATTAGTATCAGTTTTTCCCTATCCATCTCTATTTTCCTGCTACAAGTATAGTCATTTTGTGACTTTTCGATTAAGGAGTTGACTAAACATATTTAATTAAAATTTTCTTTATTTTGTATACTCATTTGATAATATTAAATACCTTTTGAGGTAAAAAATTGTCCAAAACTTATCACTATAGCGGAGGCTATACCGGTACAAATATAGATTTATCTTTTCACCTCAATTATATCTTGAGGGACCTATATATTGAACGTTGTGATTTAGGCTTTGAGGTTCACTGGTGCTTACGTGTTTAGCATATATTAGGAGAACAAGGTCAAATAATTGAGAAAAAAACATAATACATGAGGTGAGCACAGACTCGCTGAAAGCCTCGCAGGGAGGAGGGGTGAAGGTTGTTTCACATAGAGTCAACCTGTGAAGCAGGACCTGGAGGAAATGAGGGGTCAAGCCCTGAAGATACCTGGAGTAGAAGGTTCCCAGGCAAAGGCCTTGTGGTGAGCATGCGTACATAGGAAGTGGGTGAAAGACAGAGATAACAGCAACTAGCAAATCAATGCAATCAGTTCTCTGTTGATTCAGACACCTGAACGCTGAGTAGTAACACGGTTGTGTGCTTGAATACAGCAGCCAAAGCCAGTGAGTGGTGGTGAAGTGCCAGCCGACAGCCCTGAGTCTTAGCACCCGTGGGTTTACTCCCGAGGGTCGAGTCCTGCACATTAGCTTTTACAGAGCGAATGGATGTACACACAGCGGAAGAGCCCCGGGTGAGAGCTGAAGCAGCGGGACTGAATACAAGCCGTTTTTGCTCTAGACTTGCTTCTCTCCCAACTCTGGATTTAGCCTACCACACTCTTGTAGTGCTCAGATCTATCACATTAGCCTACCCCGGAGACTGCATTGTCTTCCCCTCGCTCTCATTCAACCTCTGCAAACTGCACCCATTGGAGCGCTTGGATTGGTCAAATGCATCTAGAAGGAAACAGTCACACACATCACCCATCGAGTGAATTGGCCCTCAGGCAAGATTGATTTACAGAAAACACACACACCAAAATGTTGGGTAACTACCAAAATATAGTCTAAAATAAATTTGGGGATAAATTATATTTGTGCTTAATAATAGTATTCCACATAGGAATTCTTGCTATCCTTCCTTCCTTAACCAATCTGATCGCTCAAACAAGCAGACAAATGACCCACCTGAGGCAACTGGTAAACCACAGATAGCCCCCAGCCCTTAGAGGTGTCCCATTGTTTCTCCTGATGGCCCAGGCTTTGAGTTAATTATGGGGCTAATCCTTTCAATGGCCACTTTACACAATAAATGCCCTGGAACTTTAGATGCTAGCCAACGCCTGAGTGAAAGGAAGCCACCTCCTATTCTACCTTAGGCTACCACTCCAGCTGTTGCTGATATGATTTTAACCTAACCGGATGCAAGAATTCCTAGACCTCCTCTCGGGGTAGTTTGCTTTCATTGTGTTGCTAAACTGTGGCTTAGG